CGCGGGCCAGCGGCGAGTACTGCCACGACTGGCTGGACGCGCAGGGCGTCTGGCGCATCGGCTTCCAGTGCCCCGAGCGCTTCGACGGCGGCGACGCCACCATCTGCTGCGGCAGCTGCGCGCTGCGCTACTGCTGCGCCAGCGCCGAGGCACGCCTGGACCAGGGCGGCTGCGACAACGATCGCCAGCAGGGCGCCGGCGAGCCTGGCCGGGCGGACAAAGACGGCCCCGACGGCTCGGCAGGTAGGGCGGCCCGGGACCCAGAGCGGAAGGCGAGGGTAGTTGGCTTTGTCCCGGTGGCGCGGACCTGGGAGCCGGGAGAGGGGAACGGAATTAGGAACACTGAAGTTTCAGGAGAGGGCCTCGAACCGGGAGGTAGCCTGCATTGTGACCCACTCATCAATCTGTGCGAAGTGGGGCGCCAAATCGCCGCCCTGGGCCTCAGTTTCCCCATCTGTCAGCTAAAGCGTGGCTTGGCTTGAATTTTCCGAAGAAAGTCACACATTTAAGGTAGTGTGGGCTACAGAAAGCTCCCACATTCCTTCTGTCCGGGTCCGCTGTGCCCCTCCCGTGTCTCTATGGGGCGGAAGGTCGTAACGTCTTGGGGGTACCCGAGGAAACGGCGAGGCGCGCCCCCTCCCGGGAAGGCCTGGCAGGGGCACTCGCCTGAAGGGTCAGCACAAGGCAGGCAGCTCCTCGGGGCTTCGCGGTGAGCGATGCTCTTTCCCAGACCCCTGGGGCTTCAAGCTCTCCCGGACGCGCGGCTGCACCTTTCCTGCCGCGGCCCGGGCCTCTTGGGTTTCTGGACTATTCTTCTTACCACGTCAGACTTACTAGGTGTGACATCGGAGCTGAGCCCAACCTTGCTCTTTGTGGCTTTGATTTTTTTAATTATATGTATATATTTTAAATTGCCAAAGCCGGAGTCAGAAAATAAACAAGCCCCTGAAAGAATCTGGTAGCTGCGCTCCCTTCCGCCCCTCCAGAAGCCCCCCCAGACTGCCTCCCCGGAGGGTCTGCACCGGTGACTCCGCGGGTGTGTGTTTAGTGAGCGGGTGGGGAGGCGTAGAGGTGAGATGGCAAACGTGTCCCCGAGGGGGCGCCTCCTCCTCCCGCAGCCGGTCGAGTTAACTAGAGGACTTTTTACCCGCACCCCGAGCCCGGGCTGGGCGCGGCGGGACTGGGTCGGTGTTTATGGAGCGGTGTCCCGCGGCCTGGGAAGAGGCGGCTGTTTTCCGTGCCGCTCCCTTTGCCGTCAAGCGTTTTATTAGCACGCTGCTGCCATTGTTCCTCCGCCTTGACTCCGAAGAGAGGCGGGCTCAAGGTAATTCCAGAAGAGGTGCCATCTTCAGACGCAAGCTCAGCCTTGCAGAGTGTGTGTGGCCGTGGAATAAAGCCGTGAGAAACGAGCCAAAGCCCGAACTGCTACAATGAAGCGTCTGTTTAAGTTCTGCTCATTAGTGGCCTCCGAGAAGGCGGGCGGGCTGCGGACACATCGGTGGGTGCAGCTTCTCAAGACGCTGTGCCCGGGCGGTCGCCTTCCTCTTCTACTTTTAAACTTTCTCCCTAAAAATTCCCTTTCTTTCACTCTGTGCTGCAGTGAAGAACAGTAATTAAGCCTGCCGCGGGCTTATGGGAGCCCCGCATTCTTTACCCCCGTGTGGGTATTTACACTTCCAATTAAAAGTCCTGGAAAGAGAACAGTTATTTCTCCCCCAAACTCATTATGTGGACTGAGACTGGTTTCAGCTAGTTCTTGCTGTCAGGTTTGGGGTAATCTTTTTTTCTGTTTTAGTATTATTTGTGTACCTCTTGGTGAGTATTTAGGGCTGGTATCTTAATTTAGAGAATGAAATATTTAAAGCATGTGTAGCAAAACGCCCAGAGTCCGCTGCCCCAGTCCTCCGCAGTGCGCCTGCGGTGAGCGTGTCATCAGAACAGTGCTGCTGCTGGGCGACAGCTGTGCTGCACACTCTGTGGCAAGTGCTTCTGCCTGCTGAGGGGCACTATGTATAGAAACTGCTCAGTTCAGCATTGAAGCTCAAGGAAATCTTGCACTGTCAGCCTTTGTTAAATAGCTATGAAGTATGTTTTGCTAATAAGGCGTTATTTCCCCACGGTTCCATGTGGTGCTATATTCTAAAAACACTGACTTCAGGAACACCAGAACAGTCTAAAGGGGCACAATTAGAAAGCTGGCTGCTCTAGGGCACAGTCAAAGGGTGTTCTGGGTCTGACCGCAGAGGTGCCCATCTGACTCTACTGGCTCTGTGCTTTGTCAAGACCAGTAACACCCCGTCAGTCCCTGTCCTCATGTATTTTCCAATCAGATAGGGAGATGGGGCAGGAACACACCAGAAAACAGGTTCTTGGTCCGGCAGGGCGGCGCTGGGGAGGTGGCTCCTGCGCGGTCTGCAGGCTCTCGCTTCCAGCCGGCCCGTGCATCTAGTTCCTGTGCTGCAGCCCCACGGCTCCCAAAAGATTTTTTTTAAGACAATAATTTTAGAATGGAGTTCACTACTGGATTTAGATAATAGGCTTTGATTTTTATATTTTACAGTTTATTTTTTAGACTAAACCTTGATTAGTAGGTGCGGTGACTGGCGCTTCATGCCCTAAGGCCTTCCTCTGTGGTTTTTCACACAGAACTTGGGGCGTAATCTTCTCGGCTCACTGTGCCATCTCCTTCATGGAACAAATGTCTTGTTGCTCTCGACGTTTGTTCTCCACAATACATGGTTTCACGCTGGCCTGGGACAACTTCCCTCGGCAGGGACCACTTCACCTGAGGACCACGCACGCTTCAGCTGGGCCAGAGGGCCGGGGCTGTTCAGGCTTCCTTGACCTCCTGTGCCTTATAGACTCTTTTTGCGATGGTAGTGGCTTAGAGTCTGACCTAAATTTTTTATTTATCTGCCTATGAAAAAAGAACTTGCTAAAAAATGGTAAAAAGAAGTCTTCAAGGAATATAAGTAACTTTCTGGGGGAAAGAAAAAGAGGAAGACTTTTAAATAATTTGAACTCACTGTCACTCTTCAGATTGCACAACTCTCTGTTAGGGTGGACTTAAGTTTGGGCAGTTCAGTTATTGCAGGAAGTTTAGAACGAAAACAATCTTTTAAACCCATATTTTTGCTAAGCTGGATAGTCTGCCTCAGTATCGCGGTTGATGAGTCTAACTGTGAATGTTGACAGTTTTGCTTCGGAGTTTGATCCACCATGCTTATAGGGTTTTAGCACCTTTCCTAAGCATGTGACGAAGGGCAGCACATCTTGGCGGGGCTGCTACTGTGTGGACAGACCAGCCAGCTTAGGGCCTTCGATTCTGGGTGTCAGTGTTGCTCAGGTGCCCATCACCACTGCCAGTAACCAACTTTTACTGCATTCCACAGTAATTCTTAATGTTGCGTTTCTGTCCTTTTCTTTAGTCCCCATCTACGTGCCGTTCCTCATCGTTGGCTCTGTGTTTGTCGCCTTTATCATCTTGGGATCCCTCGTGGCGGCCTGTTGCTGCAGATGTCTCTGGCCCAAGCAGGAGCCACAGCAGAGCCGAGCCCCGGGGGGCAACCGCTTGATGGAGACCATCCCCATGATCCCCAGTGCCAGCACCTCCCGGGGGTCATCTTCCCGCCAGTCCAGCACAGCTGCCAGTTCCAGTTCCAGTGCTAACTCAGGGGCCCGGGCACCCCCAACAAGGTCACAGACCAACTGTTGTTTGCCCGAGGGGACCATGAACAACGTGTATGTGAATATGCCCACAAATTTCTCTGTGCTGAACTGTCAGCAGGCCACCCAAATTGTGCCGCATCAAGGGCAGTACCTACATCCCCCATACGTGGGGTACACAGTGCAGCACGATTCTGTGCCCATGACGCCTGTGCCCCCTTTCATAGACGGCCTGCAGCCTGGCTACAGGCAGATTCAGTCCCCCTTCCCCCACACGAACAGTGAACAGAAGATGTACCCAGCGGTGACTGTATAACTCATGGCACTGCCAGGTTCCTCTGTGAGACCGAGATCAAAACGGGGATGGATTCTCAAGGTGAAAGTCCTTGCATGTTGGTGTTTGTGGCAAGATTCTCTTGGATGGTCTCATTTGTCCCCAAACTATGAAAATGTCTCCAAGTTAGCATTTCTGGATCTCTTTCATCCCAGTGCGTCATTGATTCATGATGGAAAACTGGTATCAGCTGGAGATGCCTGCCTTGTTGCTCTTGGGTGTGTGACAAATGCTTGAGCCCTTAAGTGCCCTTGAGGTTTGGTTGTCAAGAAGAATTTTGTAAACTGATAGATTAAGGGTTTTTATTATAAACTATTTTTCCTTTTTTGTTTTGAACTACATAAGATCAGAATACCTGTTAGCTCCCTTTTACCTGGGCCCTTTTTTTAAAACAAGCATCCAAAGTTGAGGGGAAGACGTAAATAACACAGTTATAAAAGGAAACTGTCTGAACTCTGTGAGATTAGTTCTTGATCTTAGTATTCCACAGGCTCATCTTAATTTCATTGTAAAAAAATATATATATTGCCTATTTTTGTGCTTTTTGGGGGCCTATTTTGTGCTTTTTTTTAAAAACAAAGTCTTGTGTAGAGATCTTATTACAAATGATTTTCTGCATTAAAAAGAGATTGAAAGCAAGTGTATCATTTCTTAACTAATGAAGACCCTTTGGAACTCTGGGATTATTTTAATCTTGAAGTAGCAGATGACATAGTAATATAAAGCCATTCATCCCCTTCTTGATTGTATCTTTTAGTTTTTACAGTGACACCTGAGAAGTAATTAGATGCTTTTTGTACTGAAATCATAAAACCGTCAGCTGCTGCTTCTCCGAGTTGCTTTTAATTTTGCCATGTGGTACGGCTGGGCATTTCCTTCTGTTTGGTTTTCGGATCCCCATGTCTATATAGTACTGAGTGCAGGTAATTACCATAGTTATAAATGAAGATCGGTATTTCTGCCTAGATCTGATAAAACATTATCTTGTTTTAGTTATAAAAATTGAAAGAAATGCGTTACAAAGATATTTAGTATAGCTCCTCAGCCATAATTGGAGGCGTGGGGTGAAATTGAAGCCACAGATATGATTTACTTTGCAAGTCATAAGGCTTTTTATACTCTCATTGTCAAAACGGCTTATTTTGCAGGCGATAGGGTCTATTAAGTCAAGAGAACAGCTTTCAGAGAAGCTGCCTTTCTTCCTCCACACACTCAGTTCTGGCTTTCCTTTCTTTCAGACTTCAGCAAGGACTGTATCCATTACCAGTGTTCTGAATTATCACATTCGAGTGAATATATCTGTGTATCATTTACCTATGAGAAAGATAAGTTTAAGTATGCACAAGTAAATTTCCATCTGCTAGCAAAACCAAGATTTGTAATTAAATTGTCGTAAAGTATGGATTTTTACACATTTATATCTACTCCTAGGCTGTCTATTATCTATTCTGTGTTATGACAGAATAATGTAAAATCATTGTTGGCAATTGGTATCAACGAAGACACTCAATCGAATGTTTTAATAACCAAAGGCGGGGGAAATCATTTTACTTATTAATAAATATTTTATGGTGTGAATTTCTACGGGATTTGTTTTTTTTTTTTTCATTTTCATTCTACTTGGTAATTTTTCAGATGATCTAGTAACTCTGTTAATAGGATAAAATTGCTAAAAATCATAATACTACTTTCTAGAACCAGGAGCCTACTTTTAAAAGTAATCAGTATCTGAGCAGTTTATACACATGTTCTGTGAGTCGGTGAATATTATTATTATTATTATTATTATTTTTTTGTCCTTTTATTGAGACCGGCCGCACCGTGCTCAGCCAGTGAGCGCTGTGAGCACACCGGCCATCCCTATATAGGATCCGAACCCACGGCAGGAATGCTGCTGCACTCCCAGCGCCGCACCCTCCCGAGTGCGCCATGGGCTTGGCCCTGGTGAATATTATTTTACATACTCCATGGGAAAGGTTAACAACATGAAAGAGTTTTTTGGGATCATTATGTTATCAAGCTAATGTTGGTTCTCTACGTGGTCTTTGATGGAGGATTCCTGCTTACCTAAGGAAGTAAAATTCCTAGAACCTTTGAGTGGAAAGGGACCTTAGAGATCACTCAGCCGAGGGATTGGCAAACTCTTTTTAAGTAAGGAGCCAGAGAGGGAATATTTTAGGCTTTGTAGGCTGTATGGTCTCGAGCAGCTATTCTTCTCTGCAGTAGTAGCTCAAAACCAGCAGTAGCTGATGTATCAACAAATGAGCAAAGCTGTGTTCCAATAAAACCTTACTTATACACACTGAAATTTGAATTTCATATAACTTTCACATGTCACAAAATATCCTTTTGACTTTTCTCCCAACCATTTCAAAATGTAAAAACCATTGTAAGCTCTAGGGTTGTACAAAAACAGGCAGTGACCTGGATTAGGCCTGTGGGCTGTAGTTTGCCAGTTACTGATCCAGTCCTCGCTTAGCTGCTTAGCCAGTGCAGTCTCCTCTGTGGCATTCTTGGCAGCCTGTTTTAAACAGAGTGATGGGGAATGCTTGCTTCTCTTATATAGAATTTTCTCATTTTTTTCCTCCTTTTCTTGTGATAATTAAATACCACGATTAAAGAAAAAGTGAACTTTAACAAATGGAATGAATTTTTCACTTAGCGAGTGCTGCTTGGTCTTTCCAGAAATACCTCACAGAAGCAACCCCAGGCCTTTCAATTTTGCTGAGAACTGGAGAAATTTAGCTGGCAAAGTAAAAAAAGTTCTAATACCTGGTTTAAGTATAGCTCCCTTGCTGTCATGAATTATAAAAGTCAGAACCTATAAGGTATAATTTGCACCCAGTAGAAATACTTCAATGTCTGTCAGAAAAAAGCATTTACAGATAGGAAGATAGTTTGCCTCTGCACGTTTTCTGCTGTATCTAAACCTGTAGTGTCAGTTCATGATAGTTCCAGGGCAATCTGTATCGCTGCCTGTAGGAGAGAAAGTCAGACCTTCAATTGCAAAGAAGAAATCAACTAGCTCTTTGAATCTATTGAAAGAGTGTGGAAACTACACATATCCTAACGTTTCCGCTGCTGCTGAAGTTGAAATGTAAGAGTCAACATCCAAAGTGGCAAGAATACCATTAAGACAAATGTTTTTTAGTTTAGCATATTTACTCTGCAACATGCATCTTCATTCTGAATAAGTTTCTACAAGCTTGACTGATGAAATATTTAATCTATTAAATTTGCCTTGAGCTCATTCTTTCAAGAATGCACAGTTTATTTCATGAGTTCTGCAACCCATCTTTTCTCTTTGTTTTGTTACAAATTAGGATTTAGGTTTTCTCTAGAAGTTGCTTGAAGAAATCAGGAAGGTCAGAACAAAGTTGGTGATCGAAGTCACGGCAGATGTTCATAAATGGACTGAGCTCAGGAGAGAAAGCTTGAATGGCGCTAAGAGTTGAGATCAGAAAGAGTTTGGAATAACTGTTCTCTTCTCAGTTTGGCCCCTGTCTAGTAACTCATGGCTAGTCCCCTTTTCTCTCAGGGATTTTGTCTCTGTTTCCTGCAGATTCGCAGTGATCTTTTGCTTACAGTGCGAGTCTCCCTACTGTACATTTAGTGATTCATTGAAGTGTGTCAGCGGCTTAAATGAATAAACAGCATGCTTGCCTGTAGTTGCTTGAGCTTCCTAAATGCTCAGGAGGAATAGGCTTGTTTCTTTTCAGTGGACTTAAGAATTAAGACTTCTCACTAACTCAGCCTGATTTTCCTCTAGTCAGTCGAATGGCATTATTAAAATACAGAGTGTGTGTTTTACTGCAGTGTCTATCTAGAGCAGACCTCCCTCATGGTATGTGCACGGGTGAGCTTGTCGGGATCTGGGGAGAGGGACAATGGGCAGACAGAGAGAGACATCAGTCTCACCCTGTCAATCATTAGGAGAGAAAACAAGCATCCTGGCACCTGCCAGCCCTGCAAGACTTGCTGAGTTACAGCTAAGTAAATAAAGTATCAGCAGTAATGGCTCTATATACTTTCTAGGATTTTTAAAAATGCAGTCACTTCCCCATTTTGCTTATTTCTTTTGCCTCTTGCACGAGAGAACAATCAAAGCTTCTGAGCCTAATCTTACATTGGCGCTGCTCTTGAGTGGAGGAATCTCGAGGTGTGGAGAGGGTGCGCCAGTGGCTTTGCACATACCAGGGAAGTGGACTTCCTGGGGCCTGCCCCAGAAGGGACAGGGACACCTGGGGCAGACACACCTTCTGCCTTTCACATTTCAAGGAGGTATAAAGTGTGCATACAAGTGAGGACCCCAGCGCTCATCACTCCACCTGCTCCTCCTTTTCTGCTGCCTGCTTAGATGATAGAGCCTGGAGGACACGTCCGTCCTCCTCTCTCAGAGCCACAGGTCAGCTGTTTTCATTCAGCCCATTCATGCAAAAATACCTACTTATGAAATTTCTTTGCCTGCTGAATTTTTTAAAAATTACCTAAAAACATGAGTGTTATTGTGATTCTCATGCCTTTCAGAGGTTGAGTGAAAAATGACAAAGAATTAGAAATTATTAGCTCTTTTCCTGAAAATTACAGCACTATACTAGGTAGATAGGTTTTAGTGCATTGATTTGCATTTGCTTTCCCTGTTCTCTGTTCTTCTGTATAAAATCATTTACCAGTGGAAAACAGAAGAATAAAACCTAGGAAAACAGTCGCTCCTGTCAGAGGTGTTAGGTATTTTTGGATATTCACTACAACACCCTCACCATGACAGAATAACTTTGGGTAAAATTACAGCTGTGAGCAGGGATTTGGCTGAGGAACGTTGTGCTTTTCACAGTTAAATCCTCATAATGCCTTCAAAATTTATACCCCGAAACAAAGGACCTAGATTCAAGTTAAGAACAAGAAATCAGAAATTAATGCTGTTTTTAAAAACTTGTAAATGAGAAAAACTTCTAAATGAGAGATGATAAAGAGGTAAAAAGTTTGTGACGGCGGCGTGAGACCGATTTCAAACATAAAAACTCACGTGTTCATTTCAAACATCTTGAAGTGTATGTCTTTCCATTTAGGAAAATCACAGGTTACATAATAAATTATTTACTCAGGAGGCTTAACAGCTGTAGAAGACTGATTGCCATCTGTGTATGTGTACACATACATGTACAGAATGATCACAAGAGAATTTAAAACAGAAAGAACTTATTGCGTAAGGCAATCTCATCCAAGACCCTATTCTCAATTCTTGATTGATTTTTTAAAAGTAGAGTTTGTTTGCAGTGCTCAGCTTTGCTTGTCTCAGTTGTGGTTGGTCCCATTGAACTTCTCTGGAGGGTTGGACCTGAGTCAAAACCCATTTCCACCACTGGTGGTGTGGCCTTTTGTCTCTGGACCACAGAGTGCTCTCTGTAAAAGGGGATTAATAACACCCACCTCGTAGGGTCTGTGTGGAGACAAAAGGAGATAATATAGCATGGTGCCAGAGGCATACAACAGGTTTTTTGTTTTGTTGTTTTTTAAACCATCGACAATTTTATTTCTTGTTCTTGGTTTTTATTTATTCTTTATTTATTTTTGGTGGCTGGCCAGTAAGGGGATCCAAACCCGTGACCTTGGCTTTACCAGCACCATGCTCTCCCAAGTGAGCTACCTGCCAGCCCCCTCCAACAGGTTTTTATAATAAACATATAATTTCACTTCTTTTCAGATATCTGTAGCCTGTCCAATATAGAGAAATACATAAATAACAAAATATATCAAATACATATAGATCCTTAAAACAAGTTTTGGAGATTTTTCTTTTTTCTTTTTGTTTTAATAACTAATCAATTTCAATAACTTGTGAATTTCTTGTGTTTTTAGGTTGCTTTAGCCTAAGAGACTTGTAAAGAGTTGGTTTTCTCTGTTCCTTGAATCAATACCGTTCTTTGTGATGCCCTAAGTGGTCTTGTCTTATTTCTCTGCACTGTAGCTTTGTAAATTCACAGGGTTTCTCTCATCTCTATATCTCTACCAGGCCTGGCTACTCCTACTTAGACTTTCTAGCCTGCCCTTGGCATCTCTGAACCAGTCAAGGTTCAGTAGATGGAATCATTTTATTTTAGTTTAGTTTTCTACTGAATTCATTACAACCTGCACACAGCAATGCTCACAAATCTTCAACGTATAGGTTGATATGCAATCACCCAGATCAGGAGGGAAGATCCAGTCGATAGCTCCCTTTGAAGGCAAGTGGCCCTCTGATCTCCATCTGTAGTTCTGCCTGGTTGGAACTTCATGTAAATGGAATCACATGCTATGGACTCTTTCGTGTCTGGCTTCGTTAACTCAACATTATGACCGATGTTGAATGGAGCAGTAGCTTGTTCCTTTTTATTGCTGTGTACTATTCCATTGTGCGACTATACCATAATTATTTACATACTCTACTGTTGGTGGACATTTGGGTTATTTTCAGTTTCGTGCCATTAGGAATAACAGTGGCGGGAACATTTGGAAACATGCCTATTTTGAACGTAAGCACTCAGTTCTCTCAGGTGGAATTCCAGGAGTAGAATTGCTGTGTCATAGGATACGTGTGTATTTTGCCTTG